CCGATACAGGCCTGCGACACGTCTTGCAGTTTCAGGGTTGCTTCCGGTACGGGTGCCCAAAATGTTAACGCATAAACAGGGATACGCGATTGCACACGGGGGAATCTATGGATGCGCGCTTCGAGAGAACGCAGGCAACGAGTGATAAGATCCCGTATCTCGGTTACGAATTGACAGAAATCTGGGAGTGTGAATTCGATAGCTGGATAAACGATCCGACACAGGCTACATTATATAGAACATTGAATGAGAACCCATTGGTAGCGCAACTACCGCTGGAACCCCGCGATGCTTTCTTCGGTGGTCGTACAGGAAATACCGTCAGTTTTTACGAAGTCGAGGGTTATGAGAGGATACACTACGTGGATGTGTGTTCGCTCTACCCCTTTATATAGAAAACGGCGAAATTCCCTGTAGATCACCCTAGAGTGTACGTGGGCGATGATTGTCGCGAACTAACGAGTGATCACAATAACATCGATAGCGTAGAGGGGCTGATTAAGTGTGTCGTGTTACCACCGCGAGATCTGTATCACCCCGTGTTACCGACGCGCATGCACGGTAAACTGCTTTTCGCACTGTATCGTTCCTGTACAGAGTCAACGCTACAGGGTTCGTGTCCTCACGAGAATCCTGAGGATACAGTATTCGATCGGGTGACACGGACGGGCAGTCATTTTGCCGATTACATAAACACGTTCCTAAAGATTAAGCAGGAAGCTAGCGGTAACCACGCGACGAGTCTACCCATTAATTACAACTGGATACGCTCTTACGTAACAGGAGAGACCAGCGAGCCTGTTGTTTTACACTATGACGCGATACGTCGTACGCCGTTTCACGACGTAGTGACGCGTCTAGAATCAAAAACGTGTAAACCGACAGACGTTCAAAAACGTCGGCGCGACGGTCGTTTCGGATTTCTACCATACGGGTTTATGTAGTTAATATTACACACAAAAAAACTTGTATAAATGTATATATGCCATCCTGTACAATAATACTAATAATAATAAAACATATTTATTTGAAAAACAAAAATCTCAGAGGGTATTCGTCTAGACCCTGCTAATATAAAATCAAATCCCGGTCTGCGAGCAGTCACCAAACTATGTCTGAGTTCCTTTTGGGGTAAGTTCGGGCAGCGCGAAAATCTACCTAAAACGGAAATCGTAACGACTCGTCAGAAGCTCGTGAGTTTGCTTACGTGCCCGGAGGTCGAAATTACGGGTATTCTACCCGTAGATGACGAAGTACTCTACGTCAACACGAGTAGTACGAGCGAATCGGTGATACCCACAGCGTACACAAACGTCGTTATAGCCGCGTACACCACGGCTCAAGCTCGTCTTAAGTTATATGACTATCTCGAGAAATTAGATCGACGACCCGTAGATGACGAAGTACTCTACGTCAACACGAGTAGTACGAGCGAATCGGTGATACCCACAGCGTACACAAACGTTGTTATAGCCGCATACACCACGGCTCAAGCTCGTCTTAAGTTATATGACTATCTCGAGAAATTAGATCGACGTGTACTATATTACGACACCGACTCGTGTATATGACCGGGTTCAGCCGTCAAAACTAGAAAGCGCCTTATCGTTCAGAGCGGCGGTTTTCTACCTCTTCTGCTAGCACCCATACTGGGCACCGTCATATCAAAACTCATAGGGGGAGGCGGATAGGACATACGCCACGCAGAGGAAGAAAGAGAGAGCGAGATGGAACATGCGAAAAAGATGGTTCTCATCCCTCATGAGAGCGTGGATACCGTGCACGAACAGTACCGCCGTGCAATGCCTCATACGCACCATCATAGTCAGGAGGGCATTGACACCGTTAACACCGTGCAAACACCTGGGATCCCTTAAGCAGATTAGACGCATCCATGAAAGAGATCCTAAACTCGCCGAATTTCATTGACGAGCGCGAAAAGTGGAAGATGTACAATCAGGTGCTGCAGCGTTATCTACACTTTATCGAGGACCTACGAAATAACGTCGACGAGAATAGGCACGCCGATAGCGATAACATGAAAAAAAAATAACAATTCTGCGGAAGATAACGCCCGGAGCCTGACCGACGATGCTGACGACGACATCATTGCCAGTGTACCCCAAAACTACAGGACTAAGGCGCGGCTCTTACTAGGCAGGTTGCGTGACGCTGGCTCATCACACATTTCGTGGAGTAAACAGGGCGTTACGCGTATCGGTGGAGCCGTCTTGCAGGAAGCCAACATCGCTGATTTAATCAATGACGCTATGCGTGAGAGAAAAACGGCAAGACCGGCGGCGAGCCGGCAGTTGGCGCGGTTCCTCCGTACTGCTGGTATACCGCGCGAATTTATTGATAATCAGCGTCTATGGAGGGATGGGAGCAACAAGACGCCTCTCAGTAATCAGACACCGCGCCGTGTAACAATCGTACCGCGCCCTATCGACATGACTCAGAGCTCGTCTACAGAGGAGGAATTTGGTGAGGCGTTTCAGAAAGTGTTTAGAGACTCCGGGGAAGGAGAAGTTGTGGGGAAAATATATACACGATCCGTGTCGGCTAGTACAGCCAACGATACCGAGAAAAAGAAAAGATTAGAATGGTTAAGGCTGCCGTGAAACAGAAGAAGAAGAAGAAGAAATCGGGTGATGACAGCCTTCTGAGGCGTCTTTATTACACACCAGCAGAACCGTCTTCGTACACCGGAATCGGTAACCTAGAGCGAACGGCTAGGGGCAGGGTAAAACGGAATTCCGTCGTACGTTGGTTAGAGGCACAGGACGCGTATACGTTGCATAAGCCCGTACGACGTACGTTTCAGCGTCGCTCTTACACCGTCAGCAATTTCGACGACGTTTGGGAGGCCGATCTTGTGGACCTTCGCTCGTTGAAGGAGTACAACGATGGTTACACGTATATACTTGTAATAATCGATGTACTCAGCAAATACGCTTGGGTCGAGCCTTTACGCGATAAGACCGGTGCGACGGTAGCCACGGCATTTCGGAGGGTTTTGGCACGTAGTAAGAATAGGATACCCATGTACCTACAGACAGACAAAGGTAAAGAGTTTACCAACGGTGTACTGCAGCGTCTGCTCGAGGAGCTCGGTATAGGATTCCATGTGGCGCGCAGCCCCGATGTAAAGGCAGCTATCGTCGAGCGCTACAACCGGACTCTGAAGAAGCGTATGTGGCGCTACTTTACACATAGAAACACGTGGCGTTACATAGATATTCTTCAGAATCTCGTAAACTCATACAACAGGACACGCCACGCTGCGATAAGAATGCGCCCGGTCGCCGTAACCCTGTATAATGCCGCTAAGGCCCGTATGAACCTATCTACGAGGTACGCATCGGCGAGGACGCGTGTCCCTAAATACAGTGTCGGCGACCTGGTACGCATCAGTAGCGCTAGGAACCCTTTTCCGAAAGGTTACGAGGGTGGGTGGACTCGAGAGATTTTTAAAATCGTACGCCTAGGTACAACGAGGGAACCACCCGTCTACTTCTTAGAAGATCTCGCCGGCGAGGAGGTTGACGGTATTTTTTACGAAGAGGAGCTCGTTCCAGTTCGCAAGGACTTCGCAAAGGACACGTTTCTCGTCGGTCGTGTAATAAAATGAAGCGGTCGTAGGAAAGCCCAAAAAGTACTGGTCAGCTGGGTCGGCTACCCCGAGAAATTTAATTCGTGGATACCGGCATCCCGCTTAAAGAACAATGAAGGACCAATTTTATCTCGTTCCTCCTAGTAACAGCAGTATATTGTACTATGTCGAAAATAAAACTACCAGTTTTACGACGCATCTACCGCATCAGATCGATTTACACGGGGCATGGTCTGCTGCTTTGGTTGAAATACATATTCCTATGACCTTTCTTCACGTGCCGGTAGCACTAAAAGATTGGGATCACGTGGTCGTGGTCACCACCCGTACCGAACCGCGGAAGAACCACAAAAAACCGATAGCTGGCGTTATAGTAACGGGTTCTAACGTAGCACACGGCGTTTACGATGACGTAAAGACACTCGTTGACGAAATAAACGCTACCAGGGCTATGACGGGCCGTCTGAAACTAGAGCTCTGCAGAGGCGGTTACGTGAGCGTATCGTTCGTCTCTACCGATAACGATCTAGACGATCCGCACGAGCTGAGACGCTGCCGCCCTCTGGCACGCATCTAGCGTTTGGAAAAAGGGGTTTTTATTATTTTTGGTTATTAAACAAAAAAAGAAAGAGTATTTGGCTCATACTGACTTCTCATTCCTCACGAGGATTAAACATCGACCCGATGTATGAGAATATAGCGTCTAACAGGTTTTCATAATCTCCTAAATTTTTGAAGTTAGCAATTTCGCCAAAGAAGACGTTAAATACTAAAGAATACCTCTTTATACGTTACCTTCTTCGACGGTGTCCGCTGCCTCGTACACGCCATTCCTAAGAACCCACAGCACCGGTTCTTCCGCGTCGTCGTGCTCCTGCAGGGGCATTGGGTTACCCGGTGCAATGAGTTCTCAAAATTGAATGTGATCATTGTAGCCGGCAGCCTCCAACGAATCTACAACTTTTTTTTACTTTTTATTTTCACACAGATGAGTTTTCAACGGTGTCTGTAAATTTATCATTATTACATTGATTGAGCTCGTGAGAAGCGCTGGTCATGGCGGATCGGTCATCATCACCATTGTCGTAGTTGTCGTCGTCATCGCTATCGGTCGATACTATTGCCATGACCTCGTCTGTAAAAAATTATTAAGAAGATCGCGTTTTTTTCCCCCGATGCTGCTTAACGCATACCCATGTGTCGTAGAGCCTTTCTTCTTCTTCTTCTTCTTCTTCTTCTTCCTCTTCCTCTTCCTCTTCCTCCTCCTCCTCCTCCTCCTCCTCCTCCTCCTTCTCCTTTGACGTCGACGTCTCTGAGGCGGATTTACTGCGTACACACAGTTGGAAGACCTCACCTAAACGTACCTTCCGATAAACTCACGTCGCGAGTCTTTACGATGTCCCGGCAGGGGCATCGCGGAACGAGACGATGACTGTTGTGCCGATCGGCGTCCCGAGTCGACGTCTTTCCCACGTGTAAATAAATATATCCCTGTTTGTGTCACCCCGACGCGTAGAGCATCGCCAGTGGGATGCTTTTCTATTCTTCTGCTCTGACGTCCCGAGTAAATCCACGTACCGTCGCACGGCCGCCCGCACGCACGCACGCACGCACGTACGGAAGGCACCTGAAGCGCACTGTCTTAAAGCGATAACGCTCACGAGCACTCCCTGTCAGATCAACCACTCCTTCTCAGTTCGTACCCCGCGCGTCAAAACTGGTCCAGCTACTACGGCAGTGGCGGATGGCTATCGCGGAAAAACAAACACTAACGTGGCGAGAGAGTGAAAATCCGTTGCGTTCCTTGCTGCGTTCACAGCGGGACTGAGTGAAGACTCGCCGCGGGGCCACCCGGCAATTTCGAAAAGACTCCCGTGGATCCCCTCTCCCCTGAAGCCCTCGCGGGTTGCCCTACGCCGTGGCCCGGCACCCCACCACGCCAACCCGTTTCCCCAGGATACCAGATCCCGATTGGCTCGTTGAGCGCAACTATCCATTGGAGTCCAGGCTACACGCCTTCCGGGCCAATGGCCGTACCTCCTGGGCGTTTCGTGACGGAAGGCGCATGACGGGGAGACGCCTTTCCCACGCCCTCTTAGCCCTCTCCCATTCGTTCGACCTCCCCACTTCAATTACACAATGCGTCCCTTTTTCATTCCTTCCTTCTTCTTCCACGTGTGCCTCTTCTTGGCGACCGTCGATGTCGCTTCTTACGTCGACTTCGACAACTTGTCAACGGCTCTTTCTTGTCATGGCCTTCGACACTGCGAGTTACGCCTCTACAATTCCCCTTGCTCTTTCTGTCACCAATAACTGTGAATAACCACAGAGTGAAAATAGTTTCGAAATAGCTTTAGAGATAAAGGACGGTATTGAGTCACTCCGATCGCTATATTTTCTCCCAATCGATCGCATTTCAAGTTTCCTTATTATTTTATCAGCTGGCATAGAAGTATTTATCGTAAAATAATATTATGATACCTGTTCACCATGAACCTGCCACTTTTTTTTAATAAAAACGTAAATTATACGTAATCTTTTTTTTTTAAAAAAAGTGTGTTTTACCGTTAGCACATTGTGTCACCGTCGCCGTGCTGGTGCTGGGCTCCGGGTAAACCTCCTCTATATGATCGAGGCACCCTAAGAGCAGCCGTTCCTCCTCGGGGGCGCCTTCGTGATGAAAGCGCATCAATACTTGTAAAATTTATTTAGTTTTTTAAAAAAGGCAATTTATTTAGGATCTATTACTGATAAGCGGCAGGTACATACCTTCATGGAATCGATGATCGGTTATAATAGCCCTGGTGATGTGGCTATCGCGCACTCCGCGTTTGTTGATACACGCTACGGCTAACGAAAGTATGTACGGATCGTTTTTGAAATATCCTCTTTCATGACCCCTGACTAGCACACGCAGAGTACAATGGGAAAAAACACTTTTTAATCTACCCGTTAGCG